GTAATAAAACATTCAACCAGTACCATAGAGCTTGATGCTACATCAAATAAAAAAGTACTTCACACTTCTGTGATACAAGTTATCTGCATAGAAGTCAAATGTCTTGACCAAGGTCAATGACTAACTGGCAAATAGATATGCACAGAAACCTCCGACCGTGTTCAGTAACAATAAGCATTTAATCTCCGAAAGTTTTGAAACAATGCATTATTTCCAGTACTACTTCATTGATTCACTAGCTACAACTTAACGATAACACTATTCTAACTTTTTAGCCTCTCAAAAAGTTATAGTCATTTAAAACAGAATAAACCATCGAAAGACGAAAAAGTACTTTTCATATGCAGCTTTGCATGCAGTAGAACGCATTCAGATCCTTAACAATCCAGAAACGGACGGCGACTACAGTAACCTTCCATGAATCAGTATTAAGAAAATCTATGACCTTGCCGTCTAAAACTTGTAAACAGTATAATCTGTTCAATGTATCAACTCTGATGTTATATTCGTAATCTTTTTAGACAAATTCATGTACAACATAATTATTTCTTATAAAGCAACAGAAGTAATTTTCAGAAGCCAAAGCATAATGCATACATCAATTAAAAACTTTGAAATGTTTTAAAAGCAAAACCCCAATTCCTCTCTGTTTTTAAATTTAACAAAAAGTACTATTTTCAATATAATGCTATATCAAAATTTGAAGAACAAAACAAGAAACTTCTTTAACTATTACAGCATCACTGAAACAAAAAAATGGTCAACAAATAACAAAATACGTATTAATTCTTACAATGAATTACTAACTTTGTATAAATAGCAATAAAGTCCTGAATTCCCACGTTCTCCAAGCTCCAGCAAAAAGTAGTGATCACTTCCTTCTCAATTTTATTTTAAAACCTTCACAAGGTATTCATAAGACTGCCGCTTAACTGCTACAGTTGCCCAACAAAGCATACTTCCAAATGATAGCTAAATTTCTTGAAAAATGTTCGTGTAACGTGCAAAAAAGCAATTCATAGATATCACAAATAAGTGTAAACGGGATAAATGTTCACGAAATAAGGGTATCTGAATCAGCTCCATCGTTTTGCATCCGTTCCCGTAATCTACGTTTAGCTTCCGCCAAAGCCTGTTTTCGTTGCCTTTCTGTCGCTGCATTTTTGCCAGCATCTTTTGTTCGAGCTGCTGGAGCAGGTCGTACTTTACGTACTGTTTTCTCATCAACTTTTGACCTACAACTGTTCAGAACTCAGTAGAAATTAGTCTTTCCGCGTAACTTAAGTATGATAAAAGCAAACACTCACTGAGAACCCTTTGAATCATCATCCCCAGCAGACACAGGTACCGGCTGCCAGTTATTCTGTCTTAACAAATCTATATCATTAAAAAGACGCTCAACATCCAGAAGCTCAATTTTCACCAAATCCCAATATGCTGTCAAATCACATACTTTGGCTGGCTGTAAATCTCCATCAACAGGGTTCTAAAAATTTAGTATCAAATTGGTGACCAAAAAGGAAAAAGAAAACTAAATAACATGAGAAATTTCAAAAACACAAGTCACTACCAAATTTTTATCAATCAATTCTGCAAATTTTTTCATCTTCCTCGAAAGTAGCAAATTTGCTTTCCCAACTGCCAGTCGAACTGTATCTGCCGCTGCTTCAGGAATATCCTTCGCTAAAAAAAAAAAAAAAAA